AAAAAAAAGTCAAAAAGTCACGGCCCAAAAAAATCGACTAAAAGTAGGTGTACGCCCAGAATCGGAGTGATGTACCCCTCGGGACTACCACCCTGCTGGCCTGCACGCTCCTCGCAGCGCTCCAGTTCGCTCAGGTTGGGAAGAGACTAGCTGCAAACATTTTTCTAACATTTTAACGATGTGCTTGCTAAATCATGGTTCTCGCCTACATTGATAAAGGCAACGATGATGGTGTACAGTTCTGTGAACTAGTACAATGAACGGGTGGAAGGCAGGGACGCCGGTAAAACATTTTATTTAAATGTTTTTTTCAGGCGATCCCGGTAGAGACCCCTTCAACTGGTCTGGAGGAAATTAAGGCTACCAACAGTCTATGTAAGATTCGGTTCACGTGGACTTTTGAGTTATAGTGTCCGAACGCGGAACTAATCTTTTTTATTTCCTTGTCCCACCAGCGGCTACTAAAAGTCTTAAGTGCATCGCTAAAATAGTTGTCGAATTCGTCTTGGAAATGCCAGCTGTGATTTGGGGTTGCGACAAATTTACAAGATGGTTTGATCCGCCCGAAAGTGTCGCCATCGGCTTCATGCAGTGCATCACCCTGGCTCTTCCTGTAAACCTACACCGCATTGCGAAGGAAGTGACATGCTGAGGCACTGCCGTCAGCGACACCAGGGTGGTTCAAGTGCAGTCTCATCTTAAACTGAAAATATACTTCTCCGCACTGTAGTCTTTCCGATTATTTTTTTTGTTGTCAACATGAGCGTCTGCTTCTACAGCGTACAGAGCCGAGGGGCGCCCGGGTTGGGAAAGGGGTTCCGATAGGAAAGCAGCAACAGCGCCAGCAGCCCGGTCAGGGGCGGCACTGACCCCGGCCAATCGGAGCGTGCAATTCTATCAGCGCGCGACGCACCCGCCCGCCGCTGGATCCCGCTAGAGTCCGTATGCTGAGAGTCCATATGCTAAGAGTCCGTATGCTAAGAGTCCATATGCTAAGAGTCCGTACTCGAACCCGTACTAGAGCTCATGCTGGAGCCCGTTTGCCAAAGCCTGTTGCTCAAGCCCGTTCTAGAGCCTTGCAGTAGCTCGTTCCTAGAGTGTTACTAGAGCCGATGCTGGGGTGCTTGGAGTTCGTGGAGCCTAAAGAGCCAACCATGCTGGGGCCCTGGACCACGTGAAGCAGAAGGGCAAAAGGCACCCTATCTCCAGGGCCTCAGCCTCAGACGCCATTCTTAATCTCCCCCACTTCAGCGGTTTTCGCCGTCCTCGGTAAACTCCTCCTCCTCCTCCTCCTCCTCCTCCTCCTCC